TCGCAAAATGAACGGGCAACTGTGGAATTCGCCGTGATTTCTGGATTATGCAAATTCCTCGAAACTTTACCAATCCAAATATTCGCAACAAAACAATATCGTTGGGACGTTCCCAATCAATCTTTGCACGGACACGCACACAACAACGAGGCCGCTTGCGTTGTTGTGCCGTGTGGCAGCGCACCCACTCACTGCCAGCCATGTGACCGCTCTGCCAAACATCCACACACATACACACACAAATACTCACATATACAAATGGATTCGAAAATTGAGAGAATTTGCAAAGGTCGTGGAAAAATTCCCAAGCAAAAAAAGGTTGATAAAGAAAAAAAGGAAAGGGAAAACTCGCATCGCAGCAGACACGTTCCACTTGCCGGTCATAGCAAGAGCTTAGCACGAGCTATTTCGATGAGCACTGATTACGGTATGTTGCAAAATATGCACTTGCAAATAACTTTTTTGTACAAATGTTAGGAAAAGATTTTCAACTGATTACTAACATATTTTTATTCCCATAAACTAATCATGGCGTTAGTTTTGCTACTATAAGTAAAAAATGTAACAAAACAGTGCCCCTGAAAGTGATTAGGGAGTTGTAGCGGGTTTTCTTATGGAAGAAGGCTGTCACTGCCTGGTGGGGAACGTCGGCATTCATGCTTTTCTATTAACTAAAGATAGCCCCATTCAAAATTCCATTTCACTGGAAAAAAAAGACAAAATGGAACAGTAGAAGCAAAAACTTTGGTCGTATTTTACAGCGTTACTCTTCGTACTAACATTTTTGGGGTCAAGGATGAGAATATTACAGGCAAAGAAGTATCACGAAGGATTCGAATTATTGGAATGGAGAAGATTAACGAAACATAGCATAAGCACATTCTAGGGTAAGTTCTTAGTGAAAGCTCAATATAGATAAATGCAAATAAAAAATCAAATTTGTGATGCTCCGCTTTTTCTTCATTGTGATTTGTAAAAGGGCAGAAAAGCTAAATATAACGTAAAGGGGATTCAATGAAAAATAGATTACGCCACGTGTAATACACTGCGTTGATCATGAATGTAGCAATAAAATGTTTAATTGCATATTCACGTTGTCAACAACTCGTGACAGAGAAACTGTTCACCACGTGGTTTGTTCAAATTCAACACAAAGGATTTGATGGCAGAACAAAAATAGCCGAAATGATATATACTGTTCCATATATAGCAGGATTAAGAATAATGCTGGATGTATGTGCTTTCTCGCATTCTT